TTGTATAGATATTGGTATTATCAACTTTAATTTACTTGTTTTGGCAGTCTCCATTTGTAGACATATTTTGGAATAACTTCCAAGGATGTTTGACACAGAAATGTGACCAAATATTCAATCTCAAGCTCTCTGCTGAACTTTTTATGTTTCGGTTTGACTCAAATACTGTCCCAGCTAATGTTTTTGACCTCTTACTATCAATGTCTATGTTCTTTGTGTGTTCTTTTTTTTGTTGAAAATGTCAGTATTTCTACCAGTAAGATTTCATACTATCCAAAGTCACCCTTTTCCTGGAGGTGATCCTCAATCTTGCAACAGGGACTTTAAAATGAAAACATTGAAATTAAAAAAGAAAATCAAAACTTATGTGTCAGAGTTTGCCAGAGGTAATATTTCTGTGTCATACACTTCATCTTGATGTTAGATTGATCTCTGTGTTTGTTTGATTACTTTGTCTAAATATTTTACTTTGTCTTAAGTAAAATGGATAGAAAGGTCGGCTGTAGGGGGAGTTTGGAGGCCGAAATTTTATTTGTTTTCTTTTAATTTTGATCAGTGAAAATCAAATTGGTCAGGGATAAGTCAGGAAAGTATGGAGTTTGAACTTTCGTCATCTGTGGCAAACCTGTGTAGAGAGTACAGCAATATTTTAATTACCTTTACACTGATTTAACAGTAGGGATAATGTTGATACAAAATCCAAAATGTCTTTAGTGTGTTAATAAAATTTTGTACATACTAATTGCCTTCAGTGTGCTGCGATGAAAAGCCTTGGTTTAGTAAAACTGCCACATTTCAATCAATTTCTTAATATCATATAGCATTATGTCTGAACAAAATTAATTCCTGCACTGTATTTTCACAGGTTATGCATTCCCAGCGCTTGAACGAAGCTCCATTGCAGCCCTGGTTTATCACTGATGACGCTGGCACAGTTTTATCAGCTCATTGTAACTGTATGGCGGGTTTGGGTGAATGATGCTCACATGTGGCAAGTATGATGTTACACAGCAACCTGCTTATAGCCCAGCGGATAAGTGCAATTTTTTCACTGAATTGTGCACTTTGTGTTACAAGCATGAAACTTGGCATGTTTGTAGCTTATACCATTCTAATTGAATAAAGATCGAGAGGCCTCGCAGATTTTTTATATTTTCCATAATTTTGGGGGAAAAGTGAAAAAAATAATAATTTTTATACTATTTTCGTCATAACTTTTTACAAAATTCTCCAGTTCTCATAAATCATATATCAAATGTAGGAAATTCATAGCTGGTCATTTTCCATCTATACATGTCTTTTTATCTTTAACGGTTAGGTCTACGGAAGTCAATTTATATCATGACTACCCGAAAATGGAAAAATTGGCGACCATTTTTCAAAATGGCCGCCATATAGAGTACATCAGTAAAATAAGTATTAGATCATCCCATGATCTAACATATTTTTATCATTTCTTTGCAAATTCAATACGAGAAGCCTCACAGATTGTGTCCATTTTTCAGTTTTTTGGGGGAAAAAGTGCAAAAAAACTTGAATTTTCCCAAAAATGTTATTTTAACTCAATTTTAAATCCTCATAAATTATGTATCTAGAATATTGTGAGAACAGATGGAAGTTTGTTTTAAGGAATATATCATTAGATTTACTTACATGTATAATGTATGGGCTTGGTTGGCTATAGATCACCTATAAAGCTTATCAAAATCAACACAACATCAAAGTCAAAGTAGCTATCTCATCACTCTATGGAATGTTACTCAATCATGTGTAATTGTGTCTAGCTTGACTGAATCAGAAAAGTGCAGTGCATTTGAGAGATGCTTTAACGCACTTGGACCGGTTTGAACATTTTATACACATGCATTTCCGCAATTTCCGGCAGCTCTTTCATGCCTTCGTGAGAGTTGTCCATAGTTACTAGTATGTTGGATCAAAGTTGATTCTGTTGGGGGAATGGTTCTGTTGGGGGAATGGTTCTGTTGGGGGAATATTGTCCAGTGTTCTCCCCTTTGTGGCAAACAAATGTTTTCTTGCTTCATTCACTTTCATGAGGTTGCTTGCACTGTCATACAGCGGTACAACAAATCTCTCAAGCTGATGAATCTGTGCATTAGGATTTCAAGTGGTGGACAAGCGAGGGAAAAAAGGTGCCCGTAAGTTCAGGAAAAGCATTCCATGTATTCCGCGAGGCCTTCTTTTCAATTCCACCAAAGGATGACATACTGTCATGGCCTGAGAAGCTGTGAAACACTGAGAACGCTTGTTGCAGCTATGGCCAACACAACCACATCTGTGTCAACAATACGGATGTAGAACTTCTTCCATGAAGACAAGATATACACAGATGAGTCAAGGGATGAAACCTGGATGAGTTTGTCAGACATGAAAATCAGTCTTGCTCACCAACTATATCTCATCAAGGTTCTCTACGTCCATGCGCTAAATCAGTTCTTCTCAATTGCTTTGAAGAAAATTTCACCACCAACTGACTCAAAACCAGATGTTGACGTATCAATCCTTGATGGATCTGCAGTAATGAACATGCTAAAACCAGCAGCTCCAATAGCATTTGATGAATATGCTGATAATGTGTTCTTGAAGTACTTGCAGTCTCTTCTGGACACTAATCAGAGAGTGGATATTGTCTGGGACGAATACAAAACGGACAGCGTAAAAATCCAGTGCAAGAACAAAAAGCGGAAGTGGAAAAAGACGACAAGTGGAAGCCAGTTCCTCAGAACTGGCAAGAATTCTCGAGGTGTGACGCCAGCAAGAAATAACTTTTTGCTTTCCTTGTACAGAAAATAGCCTTGATAGAATCAAACAAGTCATCAGCCCAATTGGCGAATATGTGGTGTCCAATCAACCAAAAGACCTTTTGGAATTGGCACCCTGTAACTATGAAGAGATAAAAAGATAAAAGAAAGTTGCTTCACTGATGCTTCACATAAAGGATGGAAGAAGTTTTACAGCCGTACTGTTGACACTGATGTTGTTGTGTTGGCCATAGCTGCAACAGGCATTCTCTATGTTGAAGAAGTATGGGTGGGGTTTGGTACCGGAAAACTCTTCCGCTATATTGTAATTCATGAACTTGCATCAGGTCTGGGTCCTGAGAAAAGTAGATCCCTTCCAATGTTTCACAGCTTCACATTCTGTGACAATTTTTCCTGAACTTACAGGCACCTCTATTTCCCTCACCTGTCCACCACTTGAAATCACTAATCACTAATGCTGATTCATCAGCTTTAGAGATTTGATGTACTGCTGTATGACAGAGCAAGCAACCTCGTGAAAGTGAATGAAGCAAGAAAGCATTTGTTCACCACGAAGGGGAGAACTTTGGACAATATTCCCCCAACAGAATCAGCTTTGATCCAACATATAAAGAGAGCTGTAAATCAGGGGAGTTATTTTTCAGAGCAATCCCTGATGAAATCACAGGAGTTACCAAGCCCTCTGCATAGGGTTGGCAATAACTCTAGGGGAGAGCTTGGACCTGTATGGACAACTCTTCTGTTGGCATGAAAGGGCTGCCAGGAATCGCTGAATCGCATGTGTATAAAATGTTCAAACTGGTCCAAGTGTTTAAAAGCAGCTCTTAAGTGCAATGCACATTTCTGATTCAGTCAACATATTTCTGACACATTTCTCAGGATTCAGTCAGACACAGGATTGAGTAATGAGATAGCTACTTTGACATTGAAATGAAATATGTTGTTGTTGATTTTGATAAGTTTTCATAGGTGATGTATAGTCAACCAAGCTCATACATTATACATGTAAGTAAATCTAATGATATATTCTTTAAAATAAACTTTCATTTGTTCTCACAACATTCTAGATACATAATTTATGAGGATTTAAAATTGAGTTAAAATAACATTTTTGGGAAAATTCCATTTTCCCCCCACTTTTTCCCCCCAAATATGAAAAATGGCCACAATCTGTGAGGCTTCTCGTATTGAATTTGCAAAGAAATGATAAAAATATGTTAGATCATGGGATGATCTAATACTTATTTTACTGATGTACTCTATATGGTGGCCATTTTGAAAAATGGTCGCCAATTTTCCCATTTTTGGGTAGTCATGATATAAATTGACTTCCGTAGACCTAACCGTTAAAGATAAAAAGACTTGTATAGATGGAAAATGACCAGCTATGAATTTCCTACATTTGATATATGATTTATGAGAATTGGAGAATTTTGTAAAAAGTTATGACAAAAATAGTATAAAAAATGATTTTTTTTCACTTTTTCCCCCAAAATTATGGAAAATATATAAAATCTGCGAGGCCTCTCGATCTTTATTCAATAAGAATGGTATAAGCTACAAACATGCCAAATTTCATGCTTGTAACACAAAGTGCACAATTTGATCACTTATCCGCTGGGCTAATACTGGAAACTTGACCTGTTAATTGAGGGTTCTACGACATGTTCGACTTCATCAAGTGCTAAACATATCAAGGAGTTAAAACCTGCATCTACCGTCACTTTTGACAATTTCCTTCGCACTATTAGTGCAGATAAACCATCTTGTCTTGCGGTTCATAGTGATTACAGTGATCAGTATGTACCTGTACCATTACAACAACAATTTCCTCAAGTGATCACTGAACTATTTGATGAAAGTATGGTTGGCATCCCATACAATGATGTTTTACTACACTGTCACAACGTTATAAATCAACTAAACATTACAGCAGAGGAGGTTTCAGCAGTGGAAGCAGCAACAAGAAACCAAGCGTGTTCCCCAGTTTGGTTTCAGTTCAGGGCTGGCCGTATAACAGCATCAAAGATGAAGAGTGTCAATCGTACATCACTGTCTGACCCTTCGAGGAGTTTACTTCGCCACATCTGTTACCCGACTGAGGTCAAGTTTTCTAATCCAGCTACGAGATGGGGATGTAGCCATGAAGTAACAGCTAGGGACACCTATGAGAAATTTTCTTCTGAGCGTCACCATAACTTCAGTGTTGAGGAATGTGGCTTATTCCTCAGCTGTGAGTATCCACATCTTGGGGCAACTCCTGATGGTATTGTGGACTGTGGCTGTTGTGGAAGGGGCTGTCTTGAGATTAAGTGTCCATTCTGTGCAAAGGATGACTTTGTTGATAGTAACATAGTTTACTTAGAGGAGATTAATGGGTCACTGCAATTAAAAAGGGACAGTCAGTATTATTACCAGGTGCAAACACAGCTATTTGTAACTAATTATGATTACTGTGACTTTGTTGTTTGGACAAACAATGATATATTTGTGGAAAGAATTACACCTTGTATGGTATTTTGGAAACCAGTAGCTGATCATGCAATGCAGTTCTTCACATCCATTATTCTACCAGAGATTGTTGCACGTCATTTCTTGAACACATGTACAAGGGTTGCTGAAGAAAGAGTCGACAAGGAAGTGTTTTGTACATGCCAGAAGCCAGAAGATGGAAGGAGGTATATTGGCTGTGATGGGAAAGAATGTACAGTCAGATGGTTTCACTTCAAGTGTGTTGGTCTTGTGCGAAAACCGAAAGGGAAATGGTATTGTAAACACTGTTCTACAAATAACACAAGAAAGAAGCGGAAACACAATAGTGAAGAGTGATGTTTCATGAACAATATCTTATCAGTATAACTTGACTTATGTGTCTCAAGCCTCGCTGACACCAAGCAACTTGTTCTGTGTCTGTGATGACACACCACCTCTTTATTGAACTTGTTCTCAAAATGATACTTATGACATATTTTGTTGACACTACACCAAGGCCAGCATAGAACAAAAATAATCACAGATAATGTTTCAGCACATTAAGAATAGTTTTATTACTATAATTGACAGATTGTACATTTGAGCAGTAACTCATAGACTTGTGTATGAAATATTTTCCATTGGTTTGTGAAATGGTCTATGACATCAATAGTTGCTGGGATAATTATGAAGCTGAATTATTGTGTGAAACAAAATATCAGTAAAGTCATTTGAGTAAGATGTGACTTCACTTACAAATAATTTTGTGACATATGATCTGCTTGAATAATGACAACACATCACAGTGTTTGAAATAGCTACTTGCCTGCTAGCCAAATGCTAGCTGATTGTGAATCGGGCCAGTAATATACTGTTAAAGCAAAGCTATCCCAACTGGTTCAGTATATCAGATAATTTGTTCTTTGTTTAATGTACATGAATATGATGAAGTCATTTATTAACATGATTAAGGTGTTAAAAGTCTGTCCTCAAAAGTTTAGTGATATATATTATCTCTTGCCACACGAAGATCACTATATAGAAAATGTTAACAGCATTGCGCAAAAGAAGTTAGGAACCATTACTACAATACAAATGTATTGTTTCAAAGGGTTGACAATAACCTACCATCTGTAATTACCAAGCATAATACCAGGCCTGACCAATGTGCATGCTGATATTGATATTTTGCAGGGCCTGTGAAGTATGATATGGGCAAGCGACAGTTTTACATAACTAGCCCTCCTTGCCAGTGACATTTTAAACTTAATTCAATCTGAACACATCTATGATCATTAATGATGAAGTTATCAAATAATACCTTTTTAAAACTTGGAGTGAACAACATTGATCATGGTCATGTTAGAAACATAGATTACATAATTTTCAGATAATAGTATATCAGATGCAAACTACAATGTGGTTCTAGTCGCCATTGAACATGTCAAGGTGGGTGTATCACCGAGTGCTAAATATGCCAACATTAAACACATTTGACCTTTCATTTATGTTTTTCATCTTTTGTAAGTCTCACAAGATATAAGTAGCCTTCACTCAAATGGAACAACTGATGGACACATGTTGGTAAGTGCACAGCAAACATGGACAAGCTTGTCAAGTAATGGATCAGTTTCATTACTCTTTGTCATTAGGTAATCAATGGGAATAGTGCTGCTGAGGATCATGTATTTTTGACGGACACTACCAATAACTCTTTCAACATGAATTCTTACATTGGCAATTTTTCTTGTTTCCTCTACTTCAGTGCCACTTAACTGTGGTTTACCTCGTGTAAATGCTGGAATCCTTAACTCCGCTCATACAGAACCAATAATTTCTTGTATATCAAAGCCTCTATCTGCTAATACTATATCACCGTGGAGAAGATGATTGGTGAAATCACTATTATTTGTTAAATACTTATCACTAACACGACCTCCCTATCCCTCAGAAATGTAACTTACAGAACCTTGGGGAGTGATGCCAATAAGATATTTTACAGTATTATGATGCTTGTACGTTGACCATGTCTGGGTTCTAGCTGTCAAATTGGATGGTCTATCAATAAAAATCTCAAAACAGTCTATAATAACAGACACTCTGCGTCCAAAATACCTTCTGAATACCATTGGCATTGTTTTCCATAAATCCTCTCTATCTGGCCAGAACACAAGTTGTTTTAAGTTGATGTACAAGACATCCATAACCTGATTAAATGTCCTGGAAATTGTAGCTTTGCTGACACCAAACCTGTAACTTAGGTCAAGAGTGGGTAAATTCAGTCTGAGTCTCATTAATGTAATAATTAACTTTTGAAACTTTGTCAGAGATAAATGTGAAGACTGACAAATTCCATATGATACAAGATTGAACAATGCAATTAGTGTTACAAACGAAGGCAGACCAGTATAATATCGTACTTTATCATCATCACCTTCAAAGTCTTCAGTATTATTTGCTTTCATTTTATGAACTATCTTCTTAAGTAGATTATTCTCATTTTTTAAAGATTCATTTTCTGACTTAAGAATGTCAATTTCAATTTTGCAACTTTTAAGTTCCTGTTCGGGTGTAATATCATGCTCTTGATCTACTGGTTCAGTGTCTGATTCTGCCTCACAAAGTTCCTCTTCAACTTCAAGATCAAACCGCAGGTTCCGGAGTCTTGATGCTTCCTTGCGCTCCTAAATGACAAAGAACACAAGTCCTTACTATAAACCTTATATATATGATGTAAATAATTTTTAAGATTGAGGGGAATATCTGTGTTACATACTACAGCAAAAATCAATTAACCTTGCACCCTTCAATTTGACTTCTTTTGAATGTTCAAGGAATTTCAAAATGAACAGAAAGACAGAAACATTTCATTTACTTAAGTGTCACAAGTCAGTAACATATGAAATATACATACATAAAAAATATTAAACATGTTTAGGGACCCTTCATAAATTATGGCCAGGGGGGTGATGATGATTTTTATGGAGAACCATGAACAATGTGACTGGCACCCCTAAAATTTATGCACAAAGTAAGTGACCCCCCTCTGCATGTTGTGTACAAAATCAATTACCCCCCTTCCCATATTTTGTAAGCCTAATTATTAAATATTTCCATGTACAAAATTGCTGACCCCCCAAGAAATTTGTGTACAAAATTGCTGACCCCCTACCTCCTCAGAACAAAATCAAAATGGGTGACCCCCCTTAAAATCATCACCATCACCCCCCAGCCATAAATTATGAACGGTCCCCTTACTTTACCTGCAGACGGGAGAAACGAGAACCCTTGTTGTCATTGTCAGCCTTGCCATAGCCAAGTTTCAAAGTTGGTATCCAATCGGGATGGGTGTCCTGATACAAGGCCGAAGGAGAACCTGGAGAAGATTATTTGATTATTATCGTCATCATCACAATATTACACAATTATTGTCTTGTGGTGTTAACTGCATAACTGTACTGCAGTATGGAGGCATGCAGAGTTCAGGCATGTTCCTACTGTTAAATTATCGGTGACAGCCTCAATTTAGCCTGATATGTCACAGATCACCTGGACTATTTCATATATTGTGGCCTTATATAATTCAGCGAAGCGGGTTAAAATTCGTGTATTGAATTGATCATGTCGACGCAGAAACGAATAATTTCGTCACGCCGGAGCTGGTTTGGAAAGACAGATAATTCCTTCTATCGGTGTCATACTACTACTGACAGGATAACGAGTTTGATTAGTAAGACAACCGAACCTACTTTCGTATTACGCAGAGTTACCGGCCATAGCCACATATTGTACTTACCACCAACAAAATGATCGCTGCACACACGCATGTATTTGGTATCCTTGAATGCAAGATCCTCCCGATTGACAGCTGCAAACCACAAACGGCGCCGTTTCTGACTGAGATCTCTTGTTTTCTCATCACTATTACTAATAATAGCTGGGAATCTGACAAATCTCTTCTTGTCTCGGGTTGCACGATTACTACATTTAAACACCGCGCATGAAACGGGCATATCGGCATCAGGTGGAATATCGCACTTGTTTACTTTTCGCGCTTCCAAGGTTGACAACCAACATGGCGGCCGCGCACTGCATCATGGGCACTGAAACCCCTCTATAGGCGTCTCAATACCGGCCTTCACGAAATGTGATTTTGTAAACACTATCCAATATGTCGGAAAGCGCACTTCGGCGTTCGTGTTAGTGTATTTTCGAAAACATCCCAACCGATTCTAGATTCATCGGCAACGTTTCAGAATTATCATTAGCGATTTCATGTAAAACTGATATCAGCGATCATGAATATGTTATTTTTGAAATTCAATGCTCCCAGTAATTATCCGTTTTCACATTTAAAAAAATACAGCAAATAACGTGAATCGCGATTTCGTACTGTGTCAAAAATGGCGACATTTTCGATGAAGCCTATTTTGAAAGGTCATTTTCAGCACTTGAGCTTTGTGTAAAATAATAGTGGATGGCATCAAGAAACAGGAAATTTCCCGCAGAATTCGAAACTGTGAAGTGTATTTGTGTACATGTGCGTGGGATTTTTATTGGACTTGAAGGGGAAGGACATACATGTCCCTGTGGCACCCAGGGGATTAAAGTCGGCAAAGTAGAGGCCACTGAAGAAATAAACCTTTCGCAGACATCTTGATGCACTTGCACAAAACGATGATATTAACACTCAAAACAGATTTACGACGGTCAAGAGCTCTTTGTGCAAGTGTTCCCTGGTGTCAACACTGATTCCCGGTGATCAACTCATGGACCTTTCACCACTTTATACCTCAAATGAAAACTGTTGTGGCAGATAGTCGAGACTGATTATACTCTGTCATAGACGTTTTACAAATTTGATTAAAGGATTTTTAAAAAGGTCACTTCACATTGTTTAGTTTCGCTCTTAATGAACCCCTGGGTATATATAATATCCACAAAATACAGTTAAAAACGGTAATATTTCATTATACAGCTTGTATTAGGAATTTAAAACACACCTCCCTCGAAAGCATTTCGCGATTACGCAAGATAATGAGGTAGATGGTCACGTGGTCGCGTGACGTCATACCCGAGAGTCGCTACATGAACACACGGAAAATACAGTGGTACAGAGCCTGTTCGCTTACTGAGGTCTGCTTCTAGTTTAGCAAATAAATCAATCCACGAAGTCAAACCTGGATTTGGATGGCATACTAGATACAGATAATATCACATACATACAACGTTTTCAATTTGAAAGTATTTCTAGCGGCAAGACCGACAGGAATATTGACGACGATTCCACCAGTTGACAACATACAGCCGTGGGACGATCCCGACTATGTTTTGAATAGACCTACTGCAGACTGGTATGCAAGTCACTTGCCTTCTCAAAAAGCTGTAGCCGCCCCTGGTATCGTCTCTGATATGGTGCATCAAACATCAGTTTTATTACATTTTCAATTTCCATAAACGTGTAAAGCATAGGTCATATGTCGTGATACTTAGTCATATAAATCTGCACAATATACATAAAACGTAATATGATAAAGACCTAGCTGTAACCTCCTTAACAGCTGATAATAGATATAATAAATAAATATACATGCAAAAAAAATAACTGACAAATCCTTATCTTTCTCTTTAACTGTCAGCTAGTGAAAAAGAAAATTCTTCATTGTGTTCTAGTAGTAATGTGTAAAGTGTGATCAGTCCCAAAGAAAGACAATCCATCAAATCCAGAAACCAGCACACAAAAATTAAAGCAGATAATTTATTTGCAAACAAACTGTTTATGACAAAATAATGAATACAATGTGTACACCAACATCATGAAGGCAAAGGCTTGCGTGTAAATTAACTGGATGGACTGGTAAAAGCCTAGGAAAACAAGACTGCTCTCCAATAACACCATGTGACACAGTGGTGACTGCAATTTGGAAACATTTACCATCTGAACAAGTCCCAGGATTCAAACAGACGAATACAATAGACCTTAAGACATCAGGCACAACTGGTTTCAGTTCACACCCTAGACACATATACATGATTTCATTTTATATCTTGATGTCAGTGAATTCACCAGTTCTTGTTTACTAGTTATGAATGAAAGTGTCTGGCAGAATATCCTGGAACAATAGGCTGTTGTGTCCTGCAAGTCTGTAGGACGGAAACATGTTTCTTCTCTAGAGAATGGCCCTGAGTTGGAATTCCACATACCCTGTGAATAAATTTTACATTGAATTAGAGACATTTTGTAACACAATTTCAGTATATTTTGTTTTGGCAACCATAATAAATTTCTTTGAAATCTGCACTTAAAAAGTAAGTACTTTTGCTTTAACATGGTAGGGGACCAGTCCCTGGTGGATAATTATCTGATAAGACTCATTTTTAATTATGTTTTAATAATTATGTGCTCTCTCTCACCACCGCACCCATATGTTGCAAGTTCTCATTTGTCCATGCCCACCCCCATCCTAATCCCTCCACACACACTCACACCGCAACACCCGTCTCGGGAAATAGATGACTCGGCCCTACTGAGTAACAGTGACAGTGGCTGTGAAAATATATCTCTGATCGAAAATAGGACATGAGCGGAAATTATGACGTACTTGTTCATCAACTATTGCTTTATATAGCTAGCTACTGGAGTGTTTATGTTGCTCCAAACCAACTACATCTTTAAACTCACCTGCAACCAACGTCGCTTCCGGAATGCAACTCTCTCGGTCTCAGTCCCAAGTTGACATTTCGGCCTCTGTGTTTGTTTGGAATGTCGAAAGGAATACCCGATATATAGCATCCTTATAAAGTTTAAGTTTTGCCTATTCGTATCCATATTTCGCCAGAGGTTAGGTCTCTTTCATAGCACTTCTTCGAAAAGTGTAACAAACACAGATGACCGTGCGTGGAGGGGTTCACAAAATCCGCACGATGACAGTAAACAATCTATATGCCCTTCCTCTTGTCAAATCGAATTTCTCAGGAAATGTATCGATACGTGTTGTTTACGCAGTTGGATGATCATCAAAACTCGAAGTGCAGTTGTCAGTTTCCAATACATAATCACAACAACGCTTCATTCAAAATATTGCGCTTCCTGTCACTTTCAACTCGATGGCGTATACACTGAGCGGACTCTCTGGTATGACGTCACACCCACAGACGGCAGACCGCTAAAAATAAAAATATGCATACGAGTGGCCGGGGCTAAAGTGGTTTTAGTTTTGGTGCATATTTATAATTTTTAGGACTGTTTTACGTAAATGGATGGTGCAGATGTGGTATATATTCATGTTTGAATGGCATTATGTAATAAAAATGCATAGTGTTTAACCTTTTTAAAAATCCTTTAAATCTGATTCAGTGATTATTTCCATGTCAAGAACTCCAGGTCATCACATGAATCTGCCAACACGTCTTCAGAAAAACGGCATCGTAATTTCCCCAGGTATCACACATATTGTTTCCATTGTATTGCTTCTGTCACCAATGTGTAGTCGATAATGCTTGGTGATATCACAGGCTACGATTCCACGTAGACATTTTTTTTTTTTTTTCATTTTTCACACAACCGATGTGCAGTTCACGAAGAGATGGCACACTTCTGACAAATGACAAGTAGTTATTGGCAAGCTATGCCGTTTTATACAGTTAGGACTTCTTATCAGTCTGTATCGTGACGGGTCAAAGGCAAATGAAGTTATATTGCGTATTTATTCCAATTGCTCTATAGTAAAGGTTGTATCTGATGTAACAGAGACACATATGTCACAAATCATATTATCTTTGGAATGTTAACGTGGGAAATTGATGAACAGAGGTACTGAGATCATATTATGGCAAAGACCTAATAAATACTGAAACTGTCGGTTTGAAACTAAACTTTTCCAGATACAATTATAATGTCACTTTGTAAAAATAAATACCACCGGTTATCAAGCAAAAGCCATTCCATTAAGCGTAAAAGGAAAAGTATCAGCGAAATGTACAACTTAATCACTGAAAAACAGCAAGAATGTTTCATATCTTGGGCTTGTTTGTTTGCCACATCCGGGAATGTGTCAGTTTTGTGACGGCTTATAAGTAATGAACCAAGTAAACCTGTAGTTGACGTAATGGACTGCCGGTGTATAATGACACTCAATCAGTCCAAACACTCCAGCATTCCTTCGCCTATCAGGACAAACTGAAGAACGCTCCACGGGGCCGATGCTAGTCCGTAGTGGTTGTTGCAGATCTTAGGCATTTAATCACACAACGATATTACAGCTGTGCGAGGTTCCCAATTGCGCAGATCGATGCTCATGCTGTTGATCACTGGATTGTCTGGTCCAGACTCGATTATTTACAGACCGCCGCAATATAGCTGGAATATTGCTGAGTGCGGCGTAAAACTCAACTCACTCACTCACAGCTGTGTGGCAACGTTTTACCCACTGTTTTTTTTTTTTTTGCTGTTTAACCCCACAGGACAATAGCACTCTTGTGTAACGTTTACAAATTACAAATTATCTTACGATAACCTGACATTCATTCAATTAGTTGGATAAAAACATCAAAGAGAACAGCTTGGTACTTGTATTCAATTGAATGTGGTACGATAGAAACAATATTTTTCCGCTTGTAGTGCAGCTGACCTACACATGTAGTCAAAATTCTCAGACTTTGACAAAGACACCAATTTAATACGACTTGCTCTCAGCTATGATTTTCAAATATCTTCAGCGAAAAGTACGAGTGTAAATATATTGACAATTATGAAACAATACCTACTTCACAATGTTTTAAAATCTGAACGAATGAGGGTACTATTGAGAAACAAAGTTTAAATTTGTTTTATACGTGATTTAAATACTGAATCTTCTTTTTACACACACCAAAAAATACTGTAAAATCACATAATTAGAATAAAATATATTCAATTTCCGGAAAACCTTTTTTCCAATTTTCTCAAAACAGGCGGTTATATTGGAACATGTATGGATTATCTGATATGTGATTCACATTGTCATTTGACAGG